TGAACTACTACATTTCCTACAGGCGCATATGAAATTCGAGATATTATTGATTATTTAGATCAAAATCTCCCAGAAGGGAAAATTATTAGCATTACACCTCATATGAATTCCACAACAGTTTCTCTCAAAGCCAATTTTACGATTGATTTTTCACAGAATGGTACCATTGCATCCCTTCTCGGATTTCAATCTCGACGTCTTGACCCAATCATTAGACATACGTCTGATTTTCCTGTGCAAATTTTGAAAGTGAATTCAATATGTGTTGCTTGCAATGTAGCCACAGGCTCATATTCCAATGGTGTGCCAAGCCACATTATCCATCAATTTTTTCCCTCTGTTTCGCCCGGGTATAAAATCGTTGAATCACCTCAAAATATTTCATATTTCCCAGTGAGTGTTAAAGCAATCACAACCATTACCGTCAACATTGTTGATCAAGACGGTCACATAATTAATTTTTGTAACGAGACCATTACACTTCGACTTCATTTACGATCCGGTAACAATGGGCATTAGATATTACGCGCCTCCGATCTCTTTTCCCTATAAAAAGCGAGGTCAGTCGAAACCATCTATTAGTGGTAAGCCTACGCAGAAGATCATTTCGACAACAATCAACATTGCAACTTACTAACGATAATAGAAAATTTTTGGAAAATCTAGGTTTTCAAGTGTTGTAGGATGAGTATTCTCAACGTTACACAAAAACCTCTTGTTGATAATTCTATTACAGAACTAGAGTATCACACTTATCAACCTTTTATCAATTCCAACTTTGACTACAACGATGAAATTCGCATTGCTGTTCAAGAACTAGATGCCTATACCATCCCGTCACAAAGTCTTTTGTATCCCGAAGGAGAATTAACCAAAGCCGATGGAACTGCTGTTACTACTAAAAACGCTGATGGAACTACTGTTACAACTCTGCAATTAATCAATAACGCTTTTGCTTTTCTGTTCCGTGAGCTCCGTTATGAACTGAACGGAGTTGTAGTCGATTCCGTTCGAAATGTTGGCCTTACCTCCACCCTTAAAGGGTATCTGTCTTTTAATGAAAATGAGAGTTCACGCTTGCAAAATGGGCTGGTTCCCAAAAGACACTTTTATTTCTGAGTCTGGCAAGTTCAATGTTTGTATTCCTTTAAGCATGTGGAGGGGTTCTTTGAAGACTATCGAAAAATTCTCCTCAATATGAAACAGGAGTTAGTATTAATCCGTAGTAGTCATGACCTTGATGCTGTTGTAGCAACTACTACATCCGAACAACCAAAAATTCGGATTGATAAGATTCAGTGGAGAGTACCCCACGTATCTGTTGACATTCCTCAGCAACTAGCTTTTACAAAAATTCTCAACTAAAACATGGAAATTCCACTATATTTTCGCAGTTGGGAACTAGTAGAGTATCCATCACTCCCTGAAACAACGCGTCACACCTGGCCAGTCAAAACTACAACGAAGCTTGAGACCCCTAGACATGTTGTCCTAGCCTTTCAAACTAATAAAAAACAAGTATCTACCTCCAATATGTCACAATTTGATCATTGCAAGTTGACCAATATTCGGGTTTTCCTCAACTCCGACCGCTTCCCATATAATGATCTCTTTTTGGATTTTAAAAACCAAAAATTTGCTCTCTTGTATGAAATGTACTCAAAATCTCCTCCTCCCATTATTAGAGTGAAAATGAACCTCTGTTTTCCCCAAAAGATTTCCTTTCTATTGCCCCTATCACACATATTGATTGCTCTAAACAGAAGGAAAGTATCCAATCTGGATCGGTGGTTATGCGAATTGAATTTGAGACAAGTGAAAATGCTCCTCCGGAAACATCTGCTTACTGTCTCATCCTACACGATCGCGTTTTCACCTACAACCCTTTAACCAAAATTGTTAAACAGCGATAGAGCTTAATCAATCATGACCAATCACAATATAAATATCTTTGTTCAGACTAAATCTCCTTCATTCTCATTATGACATCATCCTACAGACAAGCTCTCAGAGAGTATTATCAGAAATTGCAAAGTTTGAAAGAAGCACTCAATTCCTATTGTCAAAGAAGAATTCTTATACAAATCTCCAACTTAAAATATGAGTGTCGTTTTGGATGTTCAAGGATTTAAAATTGAAATAATAAATTTCTCGCAAAGAATTTTGCGCCTATGATGGTGTTAGGTTATGTCATTATATTTTCAAAGCTCCTTTTCCTTGGGATCTGCTGCCACCACCGTTGAAGATTCCGGCGAAGTGGTTGACTGATAATTACCATGGTATCTCCTGGAATTCAGGGTTTACACCCCTACATAAGTTTGGAAACATTATCAAACATTGCGGATGGGGCAGACAGAATTTATGTGAAAGGACGTGAAAAAGCAGCCTACCTGAGAAACTTCACCAGCAAACCAATAATCGAGCTTGAAGAGCAGCCCCGCCTCACCCCTTCACCAACCATACAACAGATATTTGCATGTGTGCGATGTCTAACGTTTTTTATTTGTATGAAACATTTCATCATGTCATAATTTTTGTCAATAAACATGTTTCTTCATTTAATGTATTTTTTACCACTTCCTCCCACATAACACTACACAATATCTATCTTACCAATCTTTTTATTTTATAAATACATCAAAGCGTTGCTTCTTCCCCTCTATTTTACTTACATTACATACTCGAAATTTTACTAAACCTACTTCTTACTACTTTTATACATATCACAGACATACCTCCACTTTAATAATTTACACTTTGAACCTTCTGTAAACACTGTTTGCCTATAATCTACTGTCAAGTATTTTTTTAACACTTCTTCGACTAGTTGCACTCGCCTTTGAAACCTACATCTATCTGCCATCTCCCGTTACTTCTTCGAGCTTCTCTATATGCATATTGCCATGCATATATGATATGTACTTTGTTTTTTGTTTCGTTGAAGGATACGGTCTTTGGAATAATACTTATATGTTCACCTTCATTGCACATGTTACTTTTGCTGGTGCACTTTTTAGTCACCCCACTACTTTTTCCTTCTACCAACATTGTCTCCACTCTCTTAAACCTTGCTTCCGCTGCCAACAATACCTCCACCCTCTGAAACCCTGCTTCCTTCACTGCTGCACCTGTCGCATCTCTTCTCTCCTGTATAATCCATCTTAGTCTCGCACCACGACCCATGCCTGGAGGTATACTTCTCTGCATGGGCACTGAATCAACTGATTCGAATTAGAACCTGCTTCATCATTCCAATTCTCTTCCACTACCACTTCCGGCGCCGGATTCCTGAAACCATATCGGCTAACCGGTGTGGTGTCTATGGGTGTTCGG